TGCAAAACACTGTTAGACACCCTATGAGTAGAAAAGATGATTAACATTAAAATAGTTCCTGACAACAGGAGAGGAACAGCTATACACATAAATAATACAAGGAATAAGTGCAAGGCAAGGAGAACTACATGTTAACTAAGAAGGGAATGAGTAGTTGAATCCAAACAGAGATTAATCCTAATTAAAGGTAATTATTTTATGCTTAAATAGGTAATTAAAAAATGACAGAAAAGAGACGAACACTATATTGTTAACTCCAAGGCACCATCCAAATACTTTTGCCATAGTATTCAATAGTAATACATGAAATTCTTATAGCTCTTAATAAAATAACCTTATAATAATCCTGTGAAGACTACAGATAAAACTGCGGCCCAGGAAAGGAAAGGGGAATGACAGGAATTGAGCCATTTCTGTGTCCAGCAGATACTTCCTATTTCATTCTTCTAGAATGTAAGCTCCCAGAGAAGAAGAACTGTCTTATTGTTCACTGACTCCCTAGTTCCTAGAGCAGTGCCTGCCACAAAGAAGTATGGATTCAGTAAATATTTGTTGAATAAATATATCCCCATTTTATAGATGAGGAAATTGAGGATCAGAAAGACAGTTATGGATGTAGGGGCACAAAACCATTAAATTAAGGCTCAAACCAAATTCAGTATTCTTTCTTCAACTATAATGTCTGAAATAGTTTGGTTATTAGCTGAAATTTGGAGATCATTTTATAACACTTGGTGCTATCAAAATAACTGTTCTGAATGTATAATTTACACTTGTCACTAAATTTTGATTAAGTCAGAAACAGAAGAAAACGGAATTGTCTTGAAAGGAATAGGCTGGATACTACTACAGATGTGAAATGACAGTTTTAAAAGCTTTATTTTACCAATTTAAGTGTGACAAAGGAGGAGAGAACTTTGAATTTTTTATCAGATTTAAATTTAAAAATAATGCAGCAAAAAAAAAGAAGAAAAATCTACAAACATATGTCTCATCTGGGGGGAAAAATAAAAAGAGGACTATTTTTATTGCTATTGTGCTGATAGATGCTGCAAATTATACGTGAGTTATCCATTCAATAAAGTAGACACAGGATGGCCTTTTTTGAAGCTGGAGGCTGCCATTTGGTTCAAATTACTATGAACTTCTTGAAAACAATTAAAATGCTTTTCTCTGAAAAAAAAATCTATACTTCAAACTGCCTGCCAATTAGTATGAAACACTAAAGTATTAAAATACCAATGTAAAGAATTAAAACAGTGAGACTGTATCTCTGTAAAAATCCAAAACATATCAATAATCCAATAAATATACAGTTTAAGAAACTAAAATGCAATTTACTTTCGCATGCTGACATTACTTTTCCAGAATATTTATATGTCCTATGTAAGTAGACATATACATATATCAATCCTTTCAAACATAAACCAAACTCACAGTATGAAAATATTTGAAAGCTGTAAAATTCAATTTGCTTAGAAGTCCACTGCAATAAATAAACTGTAAAATAATATTCTCAACTAAATACTTAGAAAGCAACAATGTCCTAGACTCATTTGAAGATGCTTTTCCTCAAGGGAAACTCCTGCCAGCTTTTTAAAGTGGTTTATCAATCAGACTTCTCACCTGGCAAGAATAAAATGTAAAGAGGACAAAAATTCTAGAATTTAGCTAGAACTTAGTCTTACATCTTCTCATTCACTGTATAAGAGAAATCAAAATGCAATGTTTTATTTTGCCTATCTTAGCATGAAAACACATTCATCAAAACTCTTTGTTACAAGGATTTGAGGGTAGTCTAGAATAGGTGAAATTCAGGTATAAAAATTTTAAATTCCATTTTAACCAACAGCTTCAATTCCCTTCTACATGAAATATTTTATCAGAAACTTATACAAATGTTCTAGATCTTTCCCTCCCCTGAATTCTTAAATTATTCCAATAAACATCTTCTGAGAACATTCTATGTAAAATACACTTTAAGTATTTGCATGTGACTTAGCTAATGTTCACATGGGCCCTGTGATGAAAATCTTCCTTTTACTCATAACTAAACAAGGCTTGGCAACGTTAAGCAACTCATCCCTGGTTACAAAGCTGTCAGAGGCAAAGTCTGCACCTGAATAAGGTCTTCAGACTACACCACAACTGTAGTCAACCACTTTATTTGGTAATCACATATTGCCATACAATACACTGTACTATTAACTTGCACTGTTATTTTCTTAATTTTCCCTATGTTCATGACTTTAAGAGCAATGTGCTGTGCTTTGATATCTTACAGTATCTTTAGTATTAGCAGATTGATTCAAGTTGCTTGTATGATAGAATTACAGACTACAAGTTTAAAAATTCTCAAAGCCTCACACTTGTTAAATGGAAATGATACCAAAATAATTGAGTGCTGTTAAATGCCTTCCATGTATTAACTCATCTAATTCTCATAATAGCCCTATAAAATCGGTACCTTATTGTCTCATTTTGCAGACAAAAATGCTAAAAGCTAGAAAGGTTATCTAACTTGCCCAAGATTAAGGTTACAAGTTAGTTTTGGGCAAGGCTTCAAAAGCCAAGGTATCATCTCGAGTGGTTACATGCTCAATGTTAAAACTGTCCCTCTAAGACTAGACAATGACTAAATGAAATCATGTGGTCATACAGTTGAGAAATTCAAAAAATTTTAACTCTGGGCAATGATTTCTTGGATATGAAACCAAAAAGCACAGGCAATAAAAGCAAAAATAGACAAATGGCCCTATATCAAACTTAAAAAACTCCTGTACATCAAAGGAAACAACAGAATGAAAGACAACCTACAAAATGGGAGAAAAAAATCTGCAAATCACATATCTGATAAGGAGTTAATATCCAGAATATATAAAGAACTCCTACAACTCGACAACAAAAAAATAACCTAATTTAAAAATGAGCAAAGGACTTGAATAGATATTTCTCAAAAGATGATATAAAAATGGCCAAAAAGCAAATAAAAAGATACTCAACATCACTAATTGTTAGAGAAATACAAATCAAAACCACAATGAGATATCACCACACATTTGCCAGGATGGCTACTATCAAAAACCAAAATGCAAACAAACAGAAAATAACAAGTGTTGGTGAGGATGTGGAGAAACTGGAACTCTTGTGCACTGTTGGCAGGAATGTAAAATGGCATTAACTGCTATGGAAAACAGTATGGCAGTTCCTCAAAAAAAGTGAAAACAGAATTACCAATATGATCCAGCAATTCCATTTCTGGGTATATATCCAAAAGAAGTGAAAGCAGGATCACAAAGAGGTATTTACACACCCATGTTCATAGCAGCATTATTCACAGTAGCTAAGATATGGAAACTACAATCTATTCATAGATGATGAATGGATGCCGAAAATGTGGTGCATATATATGCAACGGAATATTACACAGCCTTCAAAAAGGAACTCCTGGTATATTTATGCTACAACATGGATGAACTTCAGGGACACTATGCTAAGTTAAATAAGCCAGTCAAAAAAGGCAAGTACTATATAATTCCACTTATATAAGTTATCTATAGTAGCCAAATTTTTAAATGAAATTACAGTGGTGGTTGCCAGGGGCTGGGTGGGTAGGGAAATGGGAAATCGTTTAATTGGCATAGGGTTTTAGTTTTGTAAGACAAAATTTTGGAGATCTGTTGTACCACAATGTGAAAATGGTTAACACGACTGAACTATACACTTAAAAATGGTTAAGTTGGTAAATTTTGTTGTGTTTTTGCCACACTAAAAACAAAAAATCACTTTCTTTTCTTTCATTGCCCTCTCCTGTCCTTCCTGGTACAGTACTTAGCAGCAGTGTAATGAAAAGGATAGAGAAAAGTACGGAACGCAAGGGCTTTAACAATGTAGAAAAGAATTAAAAAAACAACAACAAAATGAAACAGGTCTCCCCACATTCTTACTGACTTACTGATAATTTTTTTCTTAACCTGGAAATATCTTGAACCTCAAGTGAAAACAGTATCCTATCGGCCAGACAATGGAGTGTAGTGGTGAAGGGCCTTTTGGAGCTAGAGAGCTCAAGTAGTATTCTGACTTTGTTACTAATTACTGTCTGACCTTGGGTAAGTTATTTTCATTCATTTACTCCTTCATTCATTCATCAAAAAGTCTGTTTCCCTATGAGTAAACCTGGTCAAATGAATCCTAGGATTGTTCTGGGGAGTAAATGAAACAATTCATGTAAAACACTAGGCACTCTGTAAGCACTCAATACATGCTGGCTATAATTACTTTATAGCCTAGAAAGCAGGACAAGAACAGGACTTCGACTAAAGGAAGTCCAGTACTCTATTCCTAAACATGTGCCTCATTTGCCGATAATTATGGTGCTATCGAATCGGATACTATTTAGCAAATCATTCCTGACTCTTATCATTCTTGTGCTCCTCTCTTCTAAAGAACTCTCTCTCGGAAAAGCAATGTCATCTCAGGTGTTCGAAAACGTTTGCTTTGGCAACAGTGTTTCCTACCCCAGAGGCGGTGGAACCAGGGACCTGTACATTAACCACCAAGAGTTCCCCGTTCCTCTCACTTCATTAGGGGCCTAGACCTTATTTGGGGGTGAAGACGAGGAGGGAGGGGGCCACACACCCACACACCCAGATATAAAGCCCCACTCTGGTAAGACAGGACCAGACGAATCTCCTGGAAGAATGACAGCTGGACATTTACGAAAACCGACCAGGGAACCGGCAACTCTTGCCTGCCGGCTGAGAGCCGGCATCTCGCAGGCAAGCTGGCGCGGAGGGAGTCTCGGGCGGTCCACAGCGGGCCCGGCTGGGTCGGTCAGGGCCGGGGCGGGGGTGTGTCGGGGAGGACCGTCCGGGGGGCCGGGCGGGCGGGGTCGTGGGGCCCGGGGGCCCTGCGGCTCCCAGAGGGGCGATGGTGGGGCGGGGGCGGGTTGCGCGGCGGCCCGGGGACCGGCCGGGGAAGAAGGGGACCGAGGGCCTCACCGCGGGCCGAGGGCAGTGGGTAGAGCTTCTCGGCCTTCTGCAGGAAGCGCTGGGCCTTCTCGCGGTTGCCGGCGTTCAGGGCCTCCCGGGCGATCTCGACACATTTCTCCGCCTCATCCCGGTTCCCCTCCATGGCTTGCGCCTTCTTCCGTTTCCTGCGGGAGCGCAGCGACGAGAGGCGGAAGCCGCCGTCGCCGAGGAGGCGAGGCTGGCCGGGGTTGGGGGCGTGCGGAGGCGAGCGGGGAGGAGCGCAGGCGACCGCGGCGGCGGGGCCCCGGCGCGCTGGCGGGCTTGCGGCTCCGCCTCCTCTCGGCGGCCTCCCCGCCCCCCGTGGGCCGCTACGGCTCGAGCCGCATCCCTCCTGGCCCCCGGACTGACCTCCCGGGTCCGACCGCCCGAGCCGACTCGGCGGTCCCTGCCTGGCGCGGCCCGGCTCGGGGCCGACCGACCTGGGGGCCGGGGGTGCGGGCGATACCGGGCCGGCTGACCGCCGGGGGGTTCCGCCGAGGCGGGGACCCGGCCGCCTGCAGCGGCAGTGACGTGCCCCCTGACCTCCCGGGGCGGCCCGCTCGGGCGGCAGCCCGCCTTCCTATAGCGGCCAGGCGACGGGTCGGGGTGGGGACGTCCGTTTTCAGGAAGATTCCCAGGGATCGAAGGCCCCGCCTCTGGGCCCCCAGCCTCGGGAGGATTCTGTCAGGTGAGGACCGCGCTTCCGGCACAGGTGTTCAGGAAGCCCAGGAGAGCTTAGTTTGACCCTCACTCCTGTTTCATTGCCGTATTTCAGCGATACACCATTTTTCTGACCCAGATGCCATTAAACTTAGTACATCCAAGAGGTACAAAGCAAACGCTTACATAATTTGTAGTTTGCACTTATTCTGGTGAAAACCACAACCATAATAAGGCTTCATGACCGAAACAGGACGGAAATCAGCTCTTTGAGAGCGTATTACCATCACATAAGTAAACTTGGGTTTTCTCCCTTCTTCCATTTTAACATCACCCCTTGTGAAATGATGTACCATGTCATGTTGGTCTCCTCGGTGAAGGGAAAGGGCCCACTTTTTGCTTGGTAATGTCCTCTTCCAAATTTCAAAAATTAAGAACTTGCCAGGAACCAAGTGTCGAAATGATCCGTACTACAAAATAACCATTTTCACACAATGCTCAGTAGAGATATTAGCCATGCCAGCAAATATGAACTCAGGACTTGCATAAAAATCCTGATTCCTCTCTGTAAAACGGGAATAGCACGTCCCCCAAAGATGTTACCGTGTATTGAACAATTTAATTCAAGTAGCCTTCAAAACAGCCTGCAGCACAGAGGAAACACTATTCTCAGTCTAAACTGGAAGTCCCTTCCGTGGAGGGAGCTACGTACAGGACTCCCCTACCTGCTCCCCACCTCTCCCACCCAACTCCACCACAGTGCTCTGGCGTAGGGCTGCTGTCACTAACAGCAAACACAGCTAACAAACGGAGATGGTCAAACTTAACCTAGAAAACAGCAACCTGTCCCATGTTCCGGCTCCTGCTGAAGTTTTAACAGTTCATTACATAGTAAAAATAAATTATACTTGTGCCTTCTGACTCTGATGTACAGAATTAAGAGTTTAATTTCAAGGAAAGAAATGTGCTTAGGTTATTGCTGGATAAGATACCTATTCAAAACAAAGCTGTTCCTATTACAATCAAGCAGATTTTATACACAACTAGTTTGGGATATGACCTTTATTGAGCTTATCCACCGAAGTGGAAATAATGTCTGTACAAAACCAAATGTTTGTTACTATAACTTCTGCATCACAATTAAAATCCAAACAGTTTTTTAAAAACAGTCAACTCAATCAAAACCCACTACTTCAGAATCAATAGCTTCTTTGAAGCCACAGTAACACTTAAATATGGTTAAGACTCGAATGCAGAAATTTGGTTGGTTGGAAAGCTAATTAAACTTCCAACTTGCTCAAATAGAATTACAAAAAGGCAAAATTGTGTTTTTCACAGAGATACAGTCCACTGGAATCACCAACACTGGACAGCTGTTAAGAGTATTTAGAGTCCTGAGATAATAAGGAATCCAGGCATCCTTTAGACAGTCTTCTGTTGTCCTTTCTTCCCAATCAGAGATTTGTGGATGTGTGGAATGACACCTGGAAGAAGGATAAAATAACATAGTACTTTAAAACCAAGATAGTTTAATGTTCAACTTGGAAGACGTCTTTAAATGTGAGTAAAAATTCAGAAATACATACAGATATCAAATTTCATGATGCAACCATACTACAGATCACTGAAACTATACTGTGTCCTCTTCTAGACTGAAAATTACTAGTAGGAATTAAAGCAAAGAATTCTTTTCTCTAAAGCAATTAAAATTTTAGTATTTACATACCACCACCAGCAATTGTAGCCTTGATGAGAGAGTCCAATTCCTCATCTCCACGAATAGCAAGTTGCAAGTGACGAGGGGTAATACGTTTTACCTTCAAGTCTTTTGATGCATTTCCTGCCAATTCAAGTACCTAGAAGACAGAATGTAATCAATCTCCTTCCCGCTTTCCTTATCTTCAAGATCCTGACAAGAATCAAAGCCTCATGAACGTGTATCTACCAAGTGTCATCTCCCCCACTACCTGAATGGCAAGATACGCAAAACCTGTAAAGGGGGAACGCAATTTTATTTCCTGAAGCCGCAAACTCAAGCCCAGCGGGAACCCATCGTGAACACCAGCCCCCTCTAGCGTTGTCAGAAGCTTCTCGCCGCGTTTAGAGCCTGGGAGTTTTCTTGCATCACTTTCCTCCTTCCCTCCCGCCGCCTCCCCCCACCCCACCCCCCCAATCTTTCCCAGATTATAGGCGTACACCCATTTACCTCTGCGGTGAGGTACTCCAGGATGGCTGCGCTGTACACAGCGGCAGTCGCGCCCACACGTCCATGGCTGGTCGTCCTAGATTTCAGGTGTCGATGAATACGGCCCACCGGGAACTTTATTTTTAGCATACACAAACATAAATGCACAAAGGTAGACGGGCCAAAGACGGTAAAATTATACGCGCGCCAAAGCAAGGGGAACGGACGCTGGTGCAGCAACGCGCCCCAGCACCCACACACGTGATCGCCCCCCTCCCTGATATTTATTGTATCGGTAAACCAAGTCGCGACACCATCACCCACGCAAAGACGAAACGCTCATGTAGAGTGATGATAAACAAGAGAGGAAAAGGAAAGAAAAACGCCACGATTCCCAGACTGCACGAACCACCACTGACTGACCTGCAAACCGGCTCTCTGCGAGCGGGAAACCGCCTTTGTCTTGGCCTTTCCGGAGTCCTTCCCAGCCTTACCGCCAGCCTGCGGCGCGCACACGCCCGCGAGCGAAGAAGGAACGCAGAATATAGGATTACCAGGGCGGCGCGCCCCTCCCCCACCGCGGCGCGGCCCGGGCGCGAGCGCGGCCCCGTGCCCAGCCGGGGTCTTCGGCCCGCCGCGCGCCGCAAGGGCGACCCCGCCC